CTTTGTTTATTAGTAGAAACCCATTGAGAAATTCAAACATTAGTTTAGACCTATAAAGTAAATGATATGTCACCTTAAAAGGCCTATATTATGACTCCACTATGTTAGATAATTGATAGTCATGGCTTGTACATTTAATTTATATTATTTATGCATATTTTAATCTTGTTCAAGAAAAATGATTGACCAAGACCAAATGCATCACACAAAGATATTCATGTTTAATATCTCATACTTAAATCAAGAGTAAAAGATCATTCACACCTTTGAATCCTCTTTGTATCATGCCATGATTGGATTTAGAGATGTATTTAGTGTTATCAATAGGTTGTACTAGGCTACAACTCATCTTATCAGGTTTTTTCAGAATTTGGACTTCAAAATAAGACATCAATGAAAAAAGTGGTTGTGTGGGCCAAAATCTAGAGCTTATTTCCTAACAACACTTTTTTTCTCTAACATGACAATTATCTCTGTCATGTTAGCTTTTGGAGCTTTGATGTTGACAAAATAAATAGACAAATAAACTGATTTTTATGCTACAAACCTTATGTTGACGTTTATAAAATTAATATTAAAACATTCTTATGACCCATAAGAAACTCTCATATAATTGTATGACAATAATAAGTTTTGACATGTATAATAGCCAAATTTCTACATCAGATAATTGAATTGACACACCTAAAAAAAGAATGGTCAATATTCTTAGCCACTACATAAGTCAACTAACAAGTTTCAACATTCAATGTGATCAAGAAATATATCACTCAAAGGAAGTGGGTCTTATGTGGCAAGACAACCTTCATCACATATGAGAAAATCATAGCATAAATGTGAAATAATAACTTTACATGATGAAAATAGTTTTGTGACCCTTAAATAAAATTTTAATACTCTGTTCTAAACCTTTTAAGTTTTTTCCTTTTAAACCTTGATGCTTTGAGTTTTTTAGATTTTTATTATTTGTAAAATTATATATATATATCCTATAATAAGTTAGTCAACCCATGAGTTAACTCATTTACATACTATTAGTGATTAGTACCACATGGCAAAATAATGAGAGGACAAAGTCCTATATTGCCACACAATTAACTATTGAAATTCATTTTTTAAACATCTCAATTGAAGAGAAAATGGCTTTTTACATGGATTAACCCATCAACATCTCAACTGAGATCTCCACTCTATGAAATAAACATTTTCATATATTTCTTAAGTCATTCAAAGAAGCTATATGTCCAACAAAACTTTTGCACCATCAATTCTACACATGCAAGTAAAAGGTAGATACACATTAAAAAAAATTCAAAAATATTTTATATGCATAATTCACATGCTAGAGCCAACTTAGAGCCATTAATATTGAAGAGATTAGTTGAACAATAATCTAATTTGGCTAACCTAAAGACCTTCGTGTAAGATAATTCATGCACCTAGTACTTATAGGAATCTAGAAATTAGATAAGAGTGCAAAAAACATCAATTCAGCCTTTCTCTAGATTCCTCATATAACCTCTTTACAACCAACTTAGCCATTACTCTCTCTCTCTGAAGATCTAGATTCAACTTAGCCTATGCATTAAGATCTAAAGCACATTTGTGTACTCCCAAAGACAAGTAACCAATATGGACTAACCACCCAAAGGCAAACTTGCTTAATTCAAACTAGTTGACTTTGGAATGAAAGACCTTGTGTTGACACAAGTCAAAACTCATCTTGTTCTTGGAACTTTTCTTTAATATCATTTTGGACAAATATTTAGTTAATAACATATTGATTATGTATTAGTTTTTGCATGGCCCATCCAAGTTTAATTCAAGGAAAGAATCCCATGAGATCATTGCAATGTAACGTACAATTATTACATTTTCTGTATTTTTAAAATGAAGAAAACATACCAACGCAATGATTAATTTGAAATATCTCATTTTGCAAGTTTAATAAAAGATGGTGTTAATATTTGTTGGTTATATCAAGAAAGAATAATGAAACACCGATTGATTCTAATGTAAGTTTATTAAAATTTTAGCACAAATTATTAAATTAGCAATAATAGTTGTAGGATTTAACGACCGGGACTGAGTCCAGGTCTCAACATTGCATGGGCCTGATAAATGTCAGGTGCACGTGCTTACCGACGATCAGAATTGATACCCACGTCAGCATCTGCTGACGTCTGGCGTGGTCATCGAGGGCGGCGTCTGAAGTGGGGCCCGTGTCTTCATTCTAGCTTGAGAAAAGGCCATAAATATTTAATAAATGAAAGCAGACGACGTCACCCCGCCGTTCCTTGGCCCTCTTAACATTCGCCACGTATCAAATTTCGGCGCCCGCCTTTTCCGGGGGAGGCCGCTCCGGTAGTCCGGTCCCCACGCCTTCTAAGTTCTCAAAAATATCCCTCCATCATCTAGTTGACCACGCCGCCTTTTATAAACTAGGAATATATCACATATGCCTCGTCTAGCTCAGGCCGTCGGCAGTGGGTCAGTTACGGATCCGAATCTGATAAGCGGCCCGAATTTGCTTTATGTCAACGGGATTAATCCCATATGCTTCGTCTGTCTGAGAAGAGTTATTATCTCAGTAACCAACGGCCTAATTACTGGATTTTGGAATCACACCGATGAAAATAGTTCGGCCGGACTGTGGGTGGATCCGAGAGCGGTTCGAAGCTTTCTGTCTTCGTATTTTGCCCCGAGCGAGCGAGCGAGCGAGAGAGAGATAGAGAGAAAGAGAAGATAGCTTGGGCATGGAAATCGACAAGACATTCAATGGAACCGTGGGGTCAAATCCATTATTTCGAAATAATTGAAAGCGTTTTCTTAGATCGTGAGTCAAAGTCTTGCATTCCTACTCTTCTCGTTCTGTTTCTTTCATCTCCTGCGGACGGGATAGAAAGAGAGGGTTGCTTCGCATGCACAGCATTCCTCGTCTTCTTCCCTCCGCACGTTTTCTATGTCTCTAGTCACGTTGTAGCCTGAACATGGGGTTGGAACCCAGAGAGAGAGATAGATAGAGATCCCCTTCATAGGTTACCTTGAAGACTCCCCTTCGTCGAAGATCTTCCTAATATAGGAATCGGTGGAAACTAGTCTAGTGGTATCAAGCCAAGCGTCTTCAGGGGGAGTGTCATTGTCATAACAATGAACCGAATATGCGGTGGCCAGAGAAAGACACAATCTTCTCTTTCTTTCTGCGTCATCCTAGTGCAAAAGACGTTGTTCTTAGAAACGACAAGATGCTTGCCACCCAGCTCCATCCTGCCTGAGATACTCAGCCCTATCATATCGGCATTCAAGCCTCAACTTGTAAAACGATGAGACGATGAAAGGATTCTAGATCACATCAGTAGAGAGAGAGAGAGAGAGAGAGAGAGAGAGAGAGAGAGAGAGATTACTGGAACACATTATTTTCGATCTCTTTCTGGTCACATTGTTCAACCAAGTGCTATCAGCTGAATTCCTCCTTCCAGGGCAAAATGTTCAGGTTTGACAGAATGTTCAGGACAATCATGCAAAGTAGTTCAACGAATTACTGAGGAAGATAACAGATCAGGAACGGGATTATTTCTCAACCCTCTGTTTAATCGCAACTCCCTCGATAATATATGTGAATCTCCTAGTGGAAAAGGTCTCAGATGACGATCATTTCGCGAGGCACATCCAACCCCGATTATCAATTATAATCGGGTTTACAGCCGAAATGTATCGTCACTGATCTTCTTTAGTGAAGGATCACCCACAAACAACAGCCGTCTCACCAATTTCAATTTTAGTAGTGTCATCATATAGAACTTAGATCGTTTATTAGTTCGTAGTAAACAAACCGTTTTCTTCTTTCCTCGAACAAGATGTTTCTTCGTATTCCAGTTGGACGACAAGGTTTGATCTTTTGTAGTTGTGCATGCGCAGGCAGCGCTCTTTCAGGGGTACCAGACCCTGACGACTTCCCAATAAGTTACTAACCCTTTTGTGGAGAGATCAAGGGATGGCACCGTCGGCATCGTAATCAAGCAGTCACATGAAGGATCTAGACAGTTGAAACAGCGAGGCCAGCAGTCGCTGACCCATCTCTAGGCTCTACGTTCCCTATCACTGCTGCCTGGAAAGTGCTATGCTATTGCATGAGAAGCTGCCATGTTTCAGACAGCCATCCATGTTCCTCTCTGATCACAGGAAAAGAGAACGAAAATTTTCAAAATAAATCAGAACATTCAGTGTGAAGAACCGATAAATGGGTTGGAAAAAAATTCCAATTTCTCTCATGGGTTGATGTTATTTTTCCATAACTGGTGTAACTTCGTATATATTTATCGCGTGATGAATGTTAGATAGTATGGGTCGGGGAGGGAAGGCTGCGGCAGTAGTTGAGGTGATTGTTCTGTCAGAACCATATCTTCGCAGGCCTTTTCTGTAGACTGGTCCCCGAAGAAAGTTACAAGCTTGCAGAGCCAGACTCAGGCTGCTGAGTTTAGCTCTGTACATGCAGCGGCTGTACTACCATCCATGAAACCCAGAAAGATCTTCTAGCTATCTCCACTCTGGAGCTCCTAAACAGGTAAACTGCTTCTCGGTTTCCCCATCAGATTGACGAACATATCTTCGAGTTTTCGTCCAAAGGATCATAATTTTCTAACGAGTTTATGTAACTTTTCGGGGTTTTTTTATCTTATTGTTGAGATAGATCTTGGAGACGAATTGCTGGCTGAGGGGGATATGGTTGATAAAGACGGCTCTTCGCTCTCTTTATGAATCCGTTGGGTAGGCTAGCTGGAAGACAAATCTCCGAATGTCTTATGCTATTTATGGCGCTCATGAGGAATCCTCTGTAGACAGTAGCCAGACCGTAGTAGCCTCCAAAGGCATTTCTCATGCCTTCCAATTTTTTTTCCTCTATATACATAGATATTTGTCTAGAGAAGGACGAAGGGAGGTATAAAGAGGAGGAGGGAGAGAGAGAGAGAGAGAGAGAGAGAGAGAGCTGCATCCCAGGAATGAGGAACCGTTCTACTTCTAGCAAAGGCAAAAGAGGCAAGGAAGCCGGAATTACAGAGCTAAAGGAAGATCCTCATCTCTCCGGTGCGTACCTCCGGAGACTCGTGAAGCAACTCGGGTCTTCCCTGCCCAGAGCAACGACGGATCCGAAGGCTAGCCAAGGTTTCGGCGAAACCCACCCGCAGGGAGCTGCAACTCAACATAGGAAGCAAGCAAGGAGAAGAGTCCACACCAGCAAACCTTACCAGGAAAGGGTAATAAACATGGCGGAGGCTAGGAGAGAGATTGTCACGGCTCTCAGGGTCCACAGAGCCGCTATGAAACGGGCAAGCGAACAACAGCAGCTACATCAAGGCAAACCAGCACCTCCCCATCCACCACCACCATCTTCATTTGAAGACCTTCGGGAGAAAACCATAACCGTGGAGAACCCCTTGAACTTTAATAGCCCTATCCTCCCATCAACCCTTTGCCCTCCATTTTCTTGGCCTTACAGCAACGTTGCACCAATTATCCCATGTCGACCCCTGGGCCTTAACCTAAATTTAGAGGGATTTGCCGACCGAGGCACAAGTATCTCCGGGATCAGAACTAGCCTCAGCGACTACTCATCCTCATCATCCTCTACAGCTTTTCGCTGCCCTAGCGCCTCCCCTGAGACTAAGTCGGCATCGGAGGCGATAGCGAAGTCCGCCGCCACCAGGGAGCTGCACCTATCGGTGGACGAGGAAGAGATGGCCAGGATAATATCCATCGGGGAGCAGCACGACTTGGAGTGGAACGACAAGCTAAACTCCGTCACGTCGGCGTGGTGGTCCGAGCTTCTCCAGGCGGCGGAGGCGAGTGCCGGTGGCGAAGGCAAAGCGGCGAGTTCCCTAGCCGTCCCTGCACTGCTGAGTGATCGCCAGGAACACATGGATGACCGCTGCTGCTTATCGAAGGAGCATATGCAAGATAATCTGTTATCGCGGTAAGCGAGAACATGAGCGATCCTCGCGAGAAATTGTCGAGGGAATTACTTGTTCCTAAAATGGATAAGATAAGAAAAGGGCCGTCTAATTCTAGTTAATTGGTAATGAACGAGGGTTTAACTTCTCTCAACCCTTGTGCAATTACTTCGAGAGTTGCGATATCATTTTTACCTGTCTGTAGTTGGTTTTTACGTGTTTGCCTCTATAAGAATCCTCCGGAAACTTGACTATTGTTTGTTTTTGCTTCCTTTTTCTGGCTTATTTCTTCTTTCTGTCTACTCTTGCAGGTTGGAAAATGGGGAATTCGCGGGCGTTGATTCTGAATGGCTAACTTGAACAACAAGTGGATCGATTTTCTTCCGGTGATCTTCCGTCTCTTCTTCCCGGCTAATGGTCGCTCTTCGTACCACGCGAAGGATAGGGAACCAGGTTCTGTTATTTACTTTTAAAAATACTCCCACCAGATTATAAATATAATCCCTCAGGAGGATAGAATACCTCTAGCCCTTAATCGTCAAAGTGATTGCTTCCAATTTGGGAAATTATTTAAGCAACTTAATCCACCCGTTGCACCATAAGATCCTTCGAAGATGGAATCGTCGTACCGGATAGACTTAGAGCACAAGAAAGGACATGCCTCACTGGTTCAGCCCGAAGAATTTACTCTAGACGGAGTCCACGTGATCCGAGGATTTTCCCCTCACAAGCCATAGAGATGGAAAATGAATCAGGTCCACCTTGCGTCACGCTAATCTCTCTTGATCTACCCATGGCAGTCTGCATTATCCACTGATCTTTATGTTGACTCAGTGTGTTGAATGCCCTAGTCATCAATCAGATATAGCCAAGAAATGGGAAGTTCTTGAAAATGTTATAATTTTCGAGAACACGAAACGATAGTTTTGTGATTGAGTTATGAGTCTGATGTAGATTACTGGAACAAGGAGTAAAAGTAATTATAGCAGTGCTTTATAAAGAATAACAAATGAACATTATATAGCACAAAATATGGAAAACGCTCCTTGAAAACAACATTAGACTGAGGCGTTATACCAATAATCGTAATATTACAATTATATAATGTAAATAGTTTTTCACAAAGCATATATTTGTAGGACAGTCGGATTAAAGGTGCTACTCACGTAGTAAAAACATTAAATGCAATTGTTTGAGGATAGAAAGCAGGAGACACTTCTCTTCCTCTTTGGTTGCATATTCCCTTGCTGTCATGACTAGAGGTCTCAGAGAGCCAGTCACCCTTCCTCCTTTTCTCCCACCCCAATCTCCTGGTACATCTCGTCGCTGTGGCTGATGCTAACGGTAGAGATACAATGCCTCCTGTAGAATCTGGTATCCCTCTTCATGGCCTCCGTCTCCCGCAACGTCTACTCCAGCATGCTCCCCGTATCGGGGAGAGCAAAGCGGCCGTCGAGACGCCAACACCGCAGTTCGAAGGTGTGCACTATCTACCCTTCATGATGTTCACATCATGAAGGGTAGATAGTGCCCCTGCACCCAGATGAAGGTTGCGAGTTAAGCCCTTCAGAGACTGGTAGCTTCAACTAATTTAGCATCTGAACAATGTCACAAGAACGAATTGTACTGTCGGCGGCGTGTATACCCTTGAAGTCACCCTCTCTCTCTCTTTCTCCCTCTCGGTCTCGTCACCACTCTCTCTTCCTCTCCCTTCGCCTCTCTCCCCCCTCTCCCTTCCTCTCTCTCTCTCTCTCTCTCTCTCTCTCTCTCTCTCTCTCTCGTCTATTTATCTCTGTTGGACTATTCTTCTCTTTCTCAACAGTAGGACTGTGGTTCTGCACAATAATCGTCAATCAATTAGATATTGGGTCAATCGAAGAAGAAAAGTTCACAAGGACGGGGAACTGTTGATGGACATGAATTGGAGGTCGACGTGTCCCTTGGACTTTGTATGCAATGATATTAAATAGCGACTACCATTTCATTGGATGATCCTGGGTAAGATCAAGGACTACCATTATTGGCCCTGTTCACTCGTTGGCCAAGTTGATTGTGGATTTCTTATAACCTATGATGACGACCTTCTTCCCCTTCAGTAATTCGCATGCGGCCTCCTCGCCGAGATTGCTGTAATGAAGCGACTACAAGACCTTCTCATAGAGATTTCTATAATCACGTCACTATACTTCCCAAGGCACATCACCAAGAACTTCAACTTGAACCACTGTCCAAAACATACAGATTCAAGCAAATACAATATGCTGAGTTTTTCTCAAGAAGACGGAAGATTCAAATTCTAAGACATGATAACAACCATATCTCACAGTAAAGAATATGCGATCAAACTCTCAATAGATGGGAAATCATATGACGAGACATGGTCTGACACCAGGTGGTGATTGCACCACCGAGGAAAAGGATAAGATGTGATGATGCCAACCTCTATGCTATGTGCGAAGGGATGCCAACTTCCAAAGGTGGTTGACGTATATCTTCTGTGAGAGACGTCTTCTCCCTAGAGCAAAGGAAGTGGATGCCCACCACAGTGGAGTTTAGAGGGATGTGTTGCTGTAGGTCTAGTGTGTGTCATAGCCCTTTATGGACTCTAGTTTCTCGCCCTGGTTGAGGATTGAGAACCTATGGGAATACCTCCATGGGGTGGATTCTCCACGGTTTTTGCTAGAACTACGGAAACCATGCAACTAAGGTTCAAACTCTCTAACCCTCAGATTGTAGGAAGTTCATTGGATGTTATTAAACGTCCTCATGACCCAGAAGATCAAATGGCGCTTCTTCCTTGGTTAAAGGTAAATCTGAAGTTCATTTGTCATCCCAAACATCATCATAGCCATCTGGATTTCAGAATTTTTTTATACTATTAATTGATGGTTATTTTTATATTTAGTTTTAGAACTAATAGGCCTAGAAAAGACCATAAACTCTACCTCAAATGGCGCTTCTTCCTTGCCCAAAGGTAAATCTGAAGTTCATTTGTCATTCCAAACATCATCATAGCCATCTAGATTTCAGCAATTATACTATTAATTGATGGTTATTTTCATCTTTAGTTTTAGAACTAATAGGCCTACAAAAGGCTATGAACTCTACCCTTCTAATATTACATTTTGGTTAAAAAAAATTTCTTTCACTCTAGTTTTCATTGTTGGTCGTAAGCCCTATCATCTCAGTAAGGTTGGTCATGAGGACCTCGTTGCTCTTAGTTGAAGCTTCATCTTTTTTGCAAATCCACCTTTTAGTAGATACTCTTAATTTCAACACTTACATAAAGTAATTATTTATAAATTATTCTTGAATGAGTTATTAAATATTTATTGAATCATCAACATACATCATAACTGTTTACATCATAAGTTAAATATCTTTGACAAATATTCAAATCATATATTAATGATACTTAAAAAAATTATATAACTAATAATAAATTCAAAGAGACATCTTTGAGATGCATTTATATGTTGAAATAATGTACTGTAATATTCTCATGATATAAGTGCAGAATAACATGTGTCAACACATGTGATGAAGTCTCACATATATTTTTTTAAAAATAAAAATTACTTATAAGATTCAAACATGGAAATTGGACACTATGAAGATAAAATCATTAACATAGGAAATGTCTAGATAATCAAAGATACACAATATCAGACATAAGATTCAAACTCAATTAGTAAGCTACACAAGGTAGAAAAAATGATGACTTAAATATTTAAATATCATATGAATCAAAGTATAAAAAAATTTAAATACAAAATCATTGTAGTGACATTGTAAAAAGTTGATTGAATATTCAATTTAAAATCACACAATTAGTGGCTGAAGTAAGATTCAATCTCTAGTCCTACATGACAGTTGAGTTGGACCATTGTCACGAAGCTATTAAGGAAGCAGAGAAAATCTTAGCCACATTTACTGCATATTGACATGTTTGGATCTTACATGGAGAAAATGACAAAACAAAATGATAAATTTTAAATCACACTCAAAAGTAAAATTACATATTAATGTATTACCAATCTCTAGAAGTAAACTCAAAGATCATTTGTGAGAGACATGTATATTTAAAATATGAAAAAAGCTTGAGATTAAACTCACACATCTTAAATGGTAATATATCATCAAGTTCATTGACAAAAGGACAAGCTCAAAAATAATATCTTAACTTAACCCTTAATATAAAGATGTTAATCAGTTGGAAATCTTTAGACACATTATCAAGGACAACTTACATAAGAGTGAAAAGATATAAGTTAAAATATGACCGAAGGTTAGAAATATAGATTTTGGACAATAACTCACTATCAAAATATGTGGACTAAGATGAGCTAAATGACTAATATTTAGTAAGACCTTGAAAGTGAAAGCATTCATTAATCAGTTATAAATCTCTTAGATTAAATTGAAGAGTGAAAAATTTAGTACTATAAAATAGCCAAAGTCATCGATATGCCAGTAGAGCAACATGAAGATTTCAAATCTTTGTTCCCATCATAATTATGAGTGAGAGAAGGAGAGACTAAAGTGATCTCATGATGAAAAGAAGGGACTTAGATAAATTCATATATAGTTTTGACATACTATGTTAAAATATGTGTCGACATATACACATGTTCAACTCCTAGTCATTGAATTAGATGATGTCATTTTTTTATCTTTTTAATTAAATTCAAGATAGAAATTAAAATTCTATGTTCTAGTGAGTTTTAGGTTGATCCTTAAGGATTGATATCAATTTACCGTAAAATTTCTGCTCTCTAATATTTAATCTACTAATAACTACCATGAAGGAAAAGAAAAGAGAAGTGAGTGTGTGAGAGAGAGACGTAAACAACTGTGTTCAACCATAATACAGTAAATAAATAAAACATTCGACCTTAGAGTAAATTAAGTTGTGAATAAAAATTAGCCTCGAATTTCTTCCTTGTCAATCACACAAGGGCAGGTGCAAGACAATGCAGGGGTTTTAAATGTAGAAATAACGTTCTTAAAATCAAAGAAAATAACATGACAAACTAACAATCAAGTGTACATGTCACCACTAATAAAGCACAAAACGACAATAGATCATGAAATAAGTTTAAAATAATATTAATAAATCTAAAGTTCCTTGTTGACTGCTCAACCGATCTCTACAAGTCATGCAGAGGGAGAGTAGATTATTGTGATGATAGCCCTACTTGATGTCGCTGGTATCCACCCTACCGTGCATGTCGTCATCACCAATCTTACCTCCGCTGGTATCCACCCTACCGTGATGTCGCTCCATTTGGTCGCATCGACTTCCTCTCCACCCCATAGCCTACAACATAGAATATATGAATGTGTTGAAATATCAAAAAATATTTTTTTATTTGTATGTGTTTCAAAATATTTTCTCTTTAATTAATTAAATTATCTTATGATATCTACCAGAGTTTATTTATATTCATATACTTTCCCTGCTTGTTCTATGCCATTTTTGGTAAACTACATTTCCTTCTACGTAAAATAATAAACTACTTAAATGAAATAAATTAAGAACTAGAAATCAAACATTAACACCATCCATGCACTATTCGTCAGGAGTAATTGCTTCTTGAGCTCCCGGACGAAGTCCTCACACGATTCGATGGCAAGTCTAGCTAGATCCTCCGTCCGTGTGCACCACCACAACTTAGCGTCACGGGCGGGGTACATGCTCGCCAGCGTGACCTTCTCCGCTTCGGGAGTATGTATCGCCCGAAAATACTGGTCTAGATCCCAAAGGAAGTTCTCTAACTCGGCATTCCTGACGCCGGCAAATACTATCTGCTCGGGGACCTTGGCCCAAGATGTCGTGCGGCTCTCCTATGTTCGCGAAAGTGCATGTTTCAGGAGGCATACATCTGCCGCTAGAGCTTCCACAAAAGCCCAGATTTCTACCATATCAATGGCGTCGGCCCACGATGTAGATGACGGTCCTACAACCTCCGGCACTACTGGCTCTGTTGCATCTAGCCATCCCTCCACAGCTCCGATGCTTGCTTCCATGGCCTCCATGGCCTCCATGGAAAGAAGAAGACGGGCAATCTGCTCCTCCAGTCGAGCGATCCTCTGCCCGTTGGTGCCACTCTCTCCCACAGTAGCGTGCTCTGATACCATTTGGTCACGGGTGGACTCTCCGTCAATGTCGAGCAGCCTCCATGTCGCCTGCGGAACTGTCCCCGATCCTACTGCGATAATGGAATAGCAAGAAAGTATTATTCCCAAGAAAAGCTTAGAGGGGGAGAGGAGAAGAGTCCAACATGACCCTCTTCTACTCTTTCACTTCCAGCTCTATCCCAGCTCTCAGCCAACTCCTTGCTCACTGCTGGCGGTCAAAACTACCTAGTTTTCTCCGAGCACTCCCCGCGCTCGCACTGGAGCTTCCGCTTTCCTACGAATGAGACTCAAACTCTCTCTCGTTCTACAGCTCTTTCCCTTTCTCTCTCTTGAAATTTCCTCTCCTTTCGTCGTCCCTCAGAGAGTGAAATCCTCCCCTTTTTATAGAGGGAGAGGGAGATAACCTCCGTCGTATTATCCTCGCTCTCTTCCCCCTCTTCGGAGAAGTTCGGAGAATCATCCGCCATATTATCCTCCCTCACCTCCGCCTCTCTCTTCTTCATATAAACGACTTCTTACGTCTGTTCCAAATCTCTCGTAGATCCGGAGGGACCGTTCCAGATCTGGGAGACTGGCTCAGCCCAGCTCATATTTTTCCACGTCTTCCGCGTGACCCGCGCCGCGCCAGCTGGGCATGTGAGATGCCTGCCTCCATCCGCGTGCGTCTCGTGGTCTCTCCCGGCGTCAATCCGGTCGGGAGGTTCCGAGAATAAATATGCCATTGTACTATAGATCGACTGGGGCTGACTAGACTTGGACCATATGCTCTCCAGTTGCATCGATTTCCTGTTAGTTGGTAGACATATCGGCGCCCGATTAAAGAGCTGGGCCATCTCCACCTTACCTAGTACATCTCGGGAAGGAGGCCCATTAAACTTTTAACGCGATTCTTCCCGAGATCCCTGATGAAAGATGCTTTTGGCCTATGCTTGATGAAAGAGGTTTATGGCCGTAGCTTTGAGCGGGTACGTGGCGTGAATTCCGGTGCTGTCGGATCAATCATTGAAGGGAGGTGCGTCAGAATCTCTTTGTTCAAACAGAAGGAACTCGAGAAAACCCCGCCGGCGGCGATCTCCCTACTCTCCGGCATCCCGCCGCTTTGAATGGACAGGTTTAGGCTCCACTTCCTCCTCGGGGAGGATGCTCCTGGCGCCGCCCGGGCGGGAACCGCCCGCTCTGTCGTCCCCGCTGGTTCAGCCGGCGCCTTCCCATCTTCCTCTTCCGATCGGAATCGGATCTTGGTCCGAGATCCCAGCAGGTGTCCCCTCCATCCTGGGAACGCCTCCCAGAAATTTTGATCGCATCTTTTTTTTTCTTTACATTTTTCTAGAACACTATCTCCACTCTTTCTCCGCCACAGCGTCGATTATCGGGAGAATTCACCGCGGCGATTCTTTCCTTTGATTATTTCTACTGGATTTCTACTTGATGCGTGCAATTCTGGGATCCGCTTCGATGAACGCCAAGTATTTTAAGGGCTAACAACCAGATAATCCTCCAGGTTGGACGCCTTTGGCTTCCTTTTTACCGTTGATTTTCTCAGTCGATTAAAAACTAATGGTTTTCATCGTAGCGAATTCTGTCTGTGATCCTGAAAATCTTGAAAATCTTCACCGTTGACCAAACATTCCTCGGAGGAGGGAGAAGAGATTGCACCGAAAAACTAAGGTCAACTCTAGAGAATTGAGTATCTGACGAGGCCAATATCACAGCTATATTCAGAGTTTGGGCACCGAATCCTCAGACCCCTGCCTGTTCATCCCCAAATCCGTCACCTGCTGAGCGTCTCATAAAACCTATTCTGAACCAAGAACACTCAAGAACACAGACAATCTTTTCAGGCCTAGATCCTTTTGACATTTTGAATTCAGTCGGTTCATGCTAGCATTTGCAACCGAGTTTTTTGGTTGAATCGACCTCTTTTGGGTGACCCTTTTTATTTCTAACCTGATGAACACAGCTTGGCCTTGATCACGGTCTCAAGGATTCATCAAAATCCTGATCCATAACCGTGCAGAAAATTCTCATCCGCTCGATCGAAGTGATTGAAAACCTATTCCTGGTCGAATGAATATCTGGACCATATTTAATCAAATCATAAATCAAAGCATACACACCAAAATTAAATCTGCTATGCATGTAAATTTTTCAGGAGAGTGGTCTCCTTAGCCGCATGCTGCGGTATCTGTCTGGCAAGCTTTGCGGCGGGGATAGTCGCTGGAATCGCCCTGAAGCGCCGCCTCCAGCGGTGGGCCACCAAACTGATCAAGCCCCATCTCCGGCGATGGGCCAAAAGCTTCATCAGTCGCCGTCTCCGGCGATGGGGCAGCAAGTTGCTCCCGCCGCCTTTCCGGCACTGGGCCGCCAAATCAAAGAGGCGATCGAAGAAGGATTGACTCAGATTCCATCTTCCATCTGAAATACTGGGATCTCCGCGTCGTTCATGGGCCCATTACGTAGAAGGGCACATGATTTTAAGATAAAGGCATTATTTTTATTTAGATGTGTCTGTGTACAACCATGTATAATATGATATTCACCGGTGGGTATATATTATCATTCTACGCACTATTTATGTAAAACCCATATTAAATTGGGTCTGGCAGAGATTGATAGCTAGCAGGTTCATGTGGTGTAGAGTTTCCTAGAGGATTAATGACGATTTGCCCAAAACCTTAACCCAGATCCAGATTCTGACTGATTAATGGCCATGCGATCCATCTACATACTTCACCCATCAATCAATTCTAATTAGCGTTCAATAAATCGAGTAAAGATCAGATCATTTACTCACTTTTTTCTCATTATCAGCTGAATTGGTCAGACTGGACCGTACGGGGGCTGACCGGACCCCTTGGAAGTCAGCGATGATTGCATTACCCATGAAGGCTCTGACCCAAGTAGATCGAAAGTCAACCTGCAATCGGCTCTTTCGAGAACGGAGAAGCCATCCCTGGGGGGAGGAGAGACTGAAACAGCAAAAATGGAGGGGGGGGCACAAAAAGGAAGGAAAATAGAGGAGGATGGCGGCGCCGCCCCTAGAAGGGGGCGTGCAGAGGAGACGCCTTCGTCTTCCTTCCACTGCTCCGGCCACCGGCTCCACTGGCCGCCTGAACATTGAGAGAGAATAAATAAGAAGTAATAACTGGAAAGGGCAAAAAAAAAAAGGCGGCGGAGGGGAAAAGGGCTGAATTGCGAATACAACCTCAGTCCGTCTCCACGAGAAACTATGTCGCCTACTTACTAACGCGCGCCTCAGGGTTAGTAGCGCAATTTAGCGGTTAGTAAATTACGAATACAACCCTCATTTGGCAGTCAACTTCTTCAAAATTAACTACACGAGAAATTCTGTCGCCTAATTACGGGTGTTCCAAGCGCGCGCAAGCAGGGTTAGGAGCGGAATTTAGCGCTTGGTAAATTATGAATAAACCCTCATTTGGTAGTCAACTTCAAAATTGCCTCCACGAGAAATTCTGTTGCGTACTTTCGGTTGTCACTAACGCGTGCCGCATAGTTCGGAGAGGAACCAATCAGATAAGTCCACGTGGGCAAGATTAGATGACTCACCCGATGACGGGAGTTGCCGCAAGGGAAGAAACCGGTGGCGGCGTCGTGGTATACGGCGGTGGCCTTTGTGGTGGAGGAGATTTCCGCGCCGCCCCTCTTCCGCCCGGCGACTCCGGCATCTCCCTCGAACATCTCCATGAACAGCGACTGCAACTCCTCGAAGGTCACGACGTCCCCACTCTCCTGAGAAAGACAGGAAAAAAAAGAAGCACAGGATGATTAGAAGACGATCTCCACCTCAGTGAGACCCAAAAAGGAGGTTTGATCATGGCGAGCTTACGCCGGGCTGAGTCTTGTTCATCATGGCGATCATCTCCCGCATGAAATCGTCGTCGGCGTCGTCATCATCGTCGTCGAGGACGCCGACGTCGTACATGAATCTCTTGTTCGTGTCGGAGAGAACTGCGCAGACCAGCCCACCGAAGAAGAAGAAGAAGAAGAAACATCAGGCGACGACGAGCCCGCACAGAGTTTTTTTGATGAATTGAATGAGAAAGGGACGAAGGGTCTTGTTATGGAGCGATGCAGGTACCCGAGTACGCTTCCTGGATCGACTGGAACTTGGCCTTGGCCTCTTCCACGGTTTTGGAGTTCCCCACGGCGGAGCACCTGTCCGGGTGCCACCTCTGCCGCAAATAAGAACTCCGGGATTCAGGAAACACCACAAGTCTTTCTCTCATCCAACTGTAAGAAACAGAGAGAGAGAGAGAGAAGCCAAGCTCTCCCCTCTCAATATTTCCCCTCCTCTATAGCCTCAGAATCATCTCAGATCGAAGATTCGAAGATAAAGAAGAGAAGAAGAAGAAGAAGAAGAAGAAGAAGAAGAAGAAGAAGAAGGACGCCCTCGCCTGAATATCACACACAGGCTTTGTACCAAATTGACTCACCATCGCGAGCTTCTTGTAGGCATTCCTCAGCTCCGCCGTGGAGCACTGCCTCTTTAGCCCCAGCACCGTGTAGAAGTCCGCCCGCCCTCCGCCAGCCCCGGCACCGCCGCCGATCTCGCCACCGCCATCCATGGCCTGATCTCCTCCGCCGCTCCAGAGGAACCGGCTTCGATCTTATACTTGTCGGAATCTGGAAGCTTCACCTCCTACATCTTCGCTAAGAGACGCCGACCTTCCTCCCTCCGTCCTTCCCAAACTTCCGACTCGTGTCGCGAGGAGGAAGAAGGAAGGAACAGGACGCTGAAGAAAGAAAAAGAACAGCCTCTGGAATAGGAAGGAACCCCCGCCAGAATCGGCGGCGTTCAGGAAGGCTCTAGAAACGGATCTGACGCAGTTCGGGTCAACCCGACTACTACCCAGGCCACCAACCACCAGGCCACTAATTAGGCCAACATCTTCACGCAAGTTAATAGGCCGACCCATCAAGGCCCATATTTAATTCTCTCTGGGTTGACCTCATATGAGCTCGATATCTTCAACGAGGCTCTTACTTGGTCAAAGTCCTGATCCAGCAAGAAACCCGAAGGTTGACTCAAGCAGGGTTGGCTGGCTGCCTGGGAAAGAGAAGTTGGGTGCCCACCGCAGGCACCGACAGAGAGAGGAGAGAGAAAGATGTTTTATTTTAAACTAGAAATATGAGATGAGGGGAGAAAGACGCGGGGGGTCGTTGACCTTTTAATGGTACCGAATGCAGGGTGAGAATGCCGTTTTGGCTTGAGAATAGTTATTAGTGGGGGGAATTAAGAAAGATCTCCTGTCTTGTCCAGGCTCCGCCGACTTACCGTGTCTGGAACTGGGAACTGGAAGTTGTTTCAGGTTTTTCTTCCTGTCTTCAGCGAGGATCCTATTAACTTTTGTGCGGATTTTGTTCCTTCCACGGGTGTGGATCAGGGTGGGGTCTCTCCATCCTCGACCAGCTCGACGAGTCTTCGTCACCCGGGAAGAGAGAAGGGGCCACGAAGTGGGAAGGCCACCGGAGGAGGAAAGCGCCCTTCCTTCCGTGAGTCTCGAAGAAGCAACCGGGCAACCTCACCTCTCTCTCTCTCTCTCTCGCTCGCTCGCTCGTTCTCATCGTTTCTTTCCGAGGGTCACAAGGTTCTTCAGGCGTATCTTTTCCAAAGTCTATCCGGATATTTACCTTGATTTCTCTTTGTTTCCCGTGGATGGAACTTGGTGAGTCGGGTCCGACGAGGACGAGGCTGGGGCGTCGGCGGCGCCGATGGCGGGGGCTACTGTTTTGAGGGAAGAAGAGAGAGAGAGAGAGAGCGAGCGAGAGTCAGCTGAAAGGAAGTATAGCGGACTGGGGAGATGCTGTATCTGAAGCAGCCACGTTGGGGGCCGATTTGATGCAGCTGTCGTGATCATCTCCGAGAGACAGGGAGCGATGGCACAGAAGCCGGCGGCGTCTGGGCATCCCTGCAGCGCCGCCGAAGCCTGCTACCTCCATAAGTTCCGACTCTACGAGACCCAATCGGTAAAAGTCTGGGCGACCAATTGAAGTTCCCTTCTCTCCCTTGTTTCGTTCACCTTCTTTCTATTTGTCAAACTCAGCTGTTCGTGTACAATTCGGGAGGTTAATTTCTTCTCTCGTCTTCTCTCCAAGTTCGCTCCCTATGCATCGGACTCACCCTCGATCGCCATTATTGCAGAATTTCTATATGGTAGGGAGAGACAAGCATAGAAAGCAGTGGAGCGTGCTGAAGATCGACAGACTGGAGCCGTCCGAGCTGAACATCCTCGAGGACGCCGTCACCTACTCTGAAAGAGAATGCCACGACCTCTTGAAGCGGATAAATGAAGGGAACAGGCCGACGGGCGGACTCAGATTCGTCACGAACTGCTATGGCATCGTGGGTACGTCTCGTTTTGAAAAAAATCGATGCTTTGCGTGAAATTATTGAGAGTTTTCTCGCTCATTTCATTGAAAGGCCATCTTGGTATGATCCTTGTTCACCAGGGTTCGTCAGGTTCTTGGGGCCCTACTACATGCTTCTCATCACCAAGAGAAGACAGATTGGGACCATCTGCGGTCACACCATCTACACCGCCAGCAAGAGCGAACTGATCGCACTGGCAAATTCTACATTTCAGCTCGATCTGACCAACTCTAAAAATGAGAAAAGGTCTTCCCGTTCTTCACTCAGCTGATGCAAAATCTCCGTGGCCCTTTTTTAGTGATAATTTTCACGTTTTTGTGTATTTCTAAGAAAAGACAGATCCTTATGGGGTACGACCATCACTTAAATTGGAGTAATTTTGACTCCAATCAGTTATTTGAATCTGCATGAGTTGACTTTTATTAGTCAAACAGCTTTACAATCTCATTTATCCTTTTGATTAATTTACACCTCTCTTCCTAGCATCGGCGTCAAGAGTCTAAAATAAAGAAACCATACATGATTTATCCTCCTTGTTCCACATCTTTGCCATTCGAACGCTCTCATTAATCTGCATCTTTGTGGGTTACGTTTATAAAGTTTTGATGTTATTCTAGCAATTGGAACGGAATTGAGGTACTGAAAGTAAATTTACTTGTGCCCTTAGAATTTCTTATCTTATGACGGCTACTCACATTTCCTTCCTTTGTTTCTTGTCTTTCTCTATTGATGGACTAGATACAAGAAGCTCCTGAGGACCGTTGATCTCACAAAGGACTTCTTTTTCAGTTACTCATACAACGTTATGCGTAGCCTACAGAAGAACTTTTGTGACAGCCAGACTGGGCATGTGGTGTATGACTCGATGTTTGTCTGGAATGAATTCCTGACGCGCGGCATTAGGAATCGTCTGAGAAATAATGTCTGGACGGTTGCACTCGTTCATGGTTTCTTTAAACAGGTAAGTACCTGATGAAATTCAGTCTAAAATCCATATCTTATCATATTTTTCTTCGTAAAATTTAATTATCATGATAGTTATTTGTCATCTATATCACCCAAGTTCCGATGCATGTGATCTCACTGTGCAAACAATCATTTGTAGCTCTTGCTGTTTTATTCATCGAAGCATTTAAAAGAAAAACATTATATTTCTCGGTACCCATTTGCTGATATTTGTGAATTTAGGTCAATCTTTCGATGTCTGGCAAGGATTTGAAGCTGATAGTCATTGCCAGGCGCTCTCGCCATTATGCGGGCACGAGGTCGAACAACTGGGGCAATTATTTTTGGTTCCCACGGCTTTAGTGAGCTGAAAGGGGTGAAATTAAGAAAATGACCCTTTTCATTCAGGTATTTAAAACGGGGTGTGAATGAGAAAGGTCGAGTCGCCAATGATGTGGAGACCGAGCAAATAGTGTTTGAAGATATTCCGGGCTTCCCCCCAACCCAGATATGCTCTGTTGTGCAGCATAGAGGCTCCATACCCCTCTACTGGTCGCAAGAGAACTCATGGCTGAATCCCAAGCCCAGTATAATCCGTGAGTGTCTTTGTAGCTGATAGAATTATTTTCCTCCTCTTCATCTTATGCGTGGCCCCCCTTGCAAACTCTCAGTGCACAGGAAAGAGCAGAGCTACGAAGCCGCTAGGCTTCACTTTGAGAATCTTGTGGAGAGGTATGGAAACCCCATCATCATCTTAAACCTGATCAAGGTAAGTATTGACTCTCACTATTGGAATATCATCAATATAAGGGTTCTTAATTCTTTTTATTTTCATCATATAAAATTGGAGTTGATAGAGATGCTGACAGATGCTTTCTTGGGTGGGTTCCACACCCTGTTTATTTCGTGGATCCTGACACCCAGACACGTGAGAAAAAGCCTCGGGAGTCTATACTACGTGAGGAATTCGCCAATGCAATCGATTTTATCAATAAGGGTTTATCACAGGAGGATCAGCTGAGATTCTTGCACTGGGATCTTCACAAACATCTGCGGAAGTATGTCCCTTGTTTTCTTTTCTCATTTAATGTGCCCAAAAGGCATGCCCTTGAACTTTTTTCTTGTTGAAACACTCCCCTAACTTCAATGAAATCCGCTTTCTGCAGTCAATCTGCAGCCGTATTACCATACTTAGGCAGAATAGCAGCATATGCATTGAACTTGACAGGCATCTTTTATTGCCAATTGAGTCCATCACCAAGCACTGAAGATGCCATCAAACGCCCCACTGCTGTGTAAATTTTTTATCCTCTCCCTTCATCCTTCAGTTCATATTAAACTATCGCTTTGAATGACTGTTCATTATGATGCTTACTGCAGGAAGGATGATGCTGTGGACTTCACCTCATGGAATGGAGAGAGGGGGGAGGGTATTCTCCAGGGGCGACTTTTGCTTCAGAATGGGGTGCTTCGTACCAACTGCATTGACTGCTTGGACCGGACGAATGTGGCTCAGTATGCATATGGTTTAGCTGGCCTCGGACAGCAACTCCATGAGCTTGGTCTCATCGATGTAGCTGAAATTGATCTGGCTTCACCTCTTGCCGATGATCTGGCGAATCTTTATGAGATGATGGGCGATACCCTGGCAATCCAATATGGCGGCTCTGGTGCTCACAACCAGGTACCATGTTGTGCTCTCTAACAGGCTGATTTTCTAACGCGAATCAATTCTTTTTAGATTATGGGTAATGATAATTCAAGAATGATTATTGGTTTTTGTCAACTAAGTCTAGCTGCTACGGGAATTGATGTTATTTGTTGGTAAAAAAACATTCATATTTGCTTCCACGAGGTTTCCCTACTGGGTGTGGTGGAACAATTGTTCTCAGTATGCTCACCTCCCTTGGTCGACACATGAGGCAGTGACATTCTCTCATTGTGAATAGCAGATTCCATGTTGGAATGATAAACTATTTTCTCTATTTTTGTTTAATTCTTGGGATCATTTCAAGAAAAAAGAGTGAGTTTCTTTGCCGGTTTCTAAAACATGTTTGATCATATTTAAATCTGATCTGGATCTAGTCTGTTCTTTGTTTTTTTCCCTGTCAGATATTTAGTTTATATTCTTATGAAAAATAAAATCAAACATGGGTAGCTTCGCAGTTATGGCATTGACCGATAACAGTGGATAGTTTTTTTGGCACTGAAGAAAGTTCATAAGCTCTTCTGCATAAACATCCTCCCACATGAAATATGAACAGCACCCAGTACTGATCCACAGTACTGAAACAAAAAAAGATCCATTAAAATGATTGAATATTATGGTCAGGTAGGAATTAGACTCTCTCAAATTTTGGAGTAACCATTACAAGCCTTTGCCGGGATCTCATGCTTATTAATATTCATTAGCTTTATACAGTGACGGAATGAGGAACTGCAACTAGTATTTCCACCTAATACCTTATTTTTCCAATCTTGAGTAGATATTCTGTGAAAAAAGAGGCCAATGGAAAGCCTCCATCCAGTCTCAGGAGTTATTCAGGATAATCCAAAGGTATTATAGCAACACTTATGTAGATGCTGAGAAGCAAGACGCCATAAACTTGTAGGCCTATATTTCTCTCTCCTCTCACATATTCCCTAGTTTTGTCTTCATAGATAACCCATCTTCTCCTGTTCACTGGGTCTCCGCCTCCTCTCAGATTCCTTGGCCACTTTCAGCCTCAACAAGGTAAGCCCGCACTTTGGGAGCTGGGCTCTGATCAGCTCTACAACATTGGAAGGCGGGATCATAATTTTGCCGATGAAAATTCTCGGTAAATATATTTGGAAAGCTTGTGCTTCTTGTGTAGCTCTAGACTGCATATTCCTCCTCTTGTTGACCACTACTGTCTTGTGTTTTTAGGCTATCTCTTAAGAGATCCCTTTCAGACGGCAACATTTCCTCTGAAAGCGACTTGCTCGTGTCGTCTGATGTGATCGGACAGAAGAAGCCCATCGGCTTGGTTCTGCCCAATAGAATGGCCAAGGATGATGCTGAGAACGCCTGTGATTCAACCCCGGATATCTCACCTTGCGATCGTTCTATATCAAATTCGAAGTGGGTTATGGTCCTCAAAAAGATCAATTTCTGCCGGTTTTCTTCCTATACTTATTTTATTTCCATTTTTTTCTCTTGCAGGTATGGCTCCCCAGTAATGCACAGAAGGGTTTTCTGGGGTAACGAGGATTCTTCCGTCAATGAACATGGGACCAATTCATCTACATCCTCCAACTTTCTCCACTTTGATTGGCTGCCGTCTTCGGGGACTTCCTTGGAGGAGATATATGATAGGTGATGATCTTGTTTTCGGCTTGTCATTGAATATAATATTTTTTTAATAAATAAGAATATTTTTTATGTATTTATTTATATATCTACTGAGATATTCAGATCCGCTCTTGTCAACTCCTCGGTCAAGCATCGATCAGCTGAAGATGCTGTTGGCGGCGCCGCTACAGAGACGACTCCAAACCTCATGGAGGATGGAACAACTATCGAGGTCCGGATTTCACTGTCCCAGCTATCGAGTTCTTGTCTTTGCAATGAAGGGCTCAGGAATCTGTCTGAATCCTCTGCAGGAAGGAGGTCCGGCTGAGATGGGTCTTGCTCTAGGCACTGGAGATTTACTCCAAATGGAAGGTTTTTCCGACATTTTCATTCGGTGGGTCGATCACGGAGGGCTTCTGCATTATTGATGCCAAAGATCTTGGCTTTATGGATGCCTCTCGTTCTCATCGGCCATCTGCTGTATTGGCCTGTCGAGATTTTCCCCTTCCTGTAAAAAGTCAAAGGGCACGGCGACGGGGGATCAGCTGATCTTTTCATTGATCCCAGGATGAAATCCTCGGTTCCTTCGAGCAAAACAAATAGCTCTGATTCTTTGGCCCCCCCTGGTCTCCTGCAACGTCACATATACGATCGCATCACACGGTTATAACATAACATCTCTGTCCTTGTAGGAACTTGAGAATTCCGGCAGATCCCTTCACAAATCGGAAAAACCCGTGTTCTCTGGATTTGAGAATGGAATTTCCGGAATGCATTCTGGGAAAGCATCTGAAAAGAGAGGCTTTTATTCCCAAGGCCCTGCAAAGAGAATGTAAATAAGAAAACGCCCCATTCTTTCCAGAAATGTGCAAAAACCTTCGAAAGGTTTGCATCGTCACGAGGGCATGTGGGAAAAGCACCAAAACAGAGTTTGCCATCGAGAAATTGCCACGTGTTTCACCAAGTTAGCTGCCAATTTAGACCCCTTGCGCCGGTCGGTGGGCCCCCCTAAGTTGCTGCCGTTATCCAAAAAAGTGGGGCCCAGGGGCCTCCCCCCACCTCCCCACAGAGCTTATCCTCTGTCCCTCGCCGTGGGAGAAAGTGATGCCTTTGCATGAGCTGTATCAATCACGGTGGCCCCATTTTGATTGGTCGGTGTGATCCGACCCCCCGTGATTAAATTTTTCAATAATCTTTATCGGTGGATTTGATCAAAGATGACCGAGTTTTTAAATAATTGAATAATGCAACAATAATAATTATGTATAAAATAAGTATTTACGATAATATGAACCATGAATGAAATATTACATACATCCTATATGAAAACATACATTTTCAGTAAATCAAATTTTTATTTTTTAAAATTATTCCGAGAGAAAAATAAGTCGGGTCAATTTTAGCAGGATATTCTTTAGGAGCCCAAGAAGATGCTGTAAATGTAGAAGGGATGCTTGAGAAAGAGGGAGTCTTGCCGACCGATTTGACTGAAGGTCGAATCTTGCCGGCGAGACTGTCTCCTTGCTTCGCTGTCGCAGAGAGTGAGAAAGCACGAGGTGGGGGCCTGTCCGTACCAGAACGAGGAGATGGGGGGAAAGATGACGAGGGGGAATACCGGACTCATTTTGACGGAGTCAAAAGCAACGTCCACCACCCCAATTCTCACCCCTTCTCCTCTCCCCTCTCCGGAGCTTTTTACCCATTTATTCTCCTTTCTACCATCTCTCCTGTCTCTCTCTCTCTCCCTTCCTCTATCCTTCTCTCCAAACTTTTCTATGGAGGCGGCTGCTCTTTCTCCAGGAGGTAATGGCGGCAATCTGCTTGTTCTGCGCGTTATCCTCTTTCTTGAAATGACAGTTCCTTATACGACTTGGTTTCATCGGTCTTAATGACCTCGGCTCAGTGAGCAGTAGCAATCTAGAAGCCAGGTGTGCTCTCCTTTTCCGGCAGGTTGATGGGGACCAGAGAGAGGGGGAGAGAGAGAGAAGGGGAGAGAGAGAGAAGGGGAGAGAGGGAGAGAGGGAGAGAGGGAGAGAGAGACGTCTCCTGCCTCTGACTACGTGGTAGGATGTGCTTGGGTCACTGGAAATTGCATCTGATGTGCTCGTCTGAACATGTCATGCCCCTTCGCCACGCAGAGCCCATCCGTGTGTTTTCCAAGGGTAACAAAAGTCAAACGCAGGGAAAAAGGAGGCAATGTTCTCCGCCCTTAGTTTTGGAACCCATCTTTTGAGTTCCCTCGATTCTTCTTTCTGAATTTTCTCAACCGTTGATCAAAGACGATCGAGTTACGCTGACTCTCTGTCCCTTTTTTCGGAATTTTAGTATATATAATGTTTAATCGAAGTCTACTGTACTGCTATCTTGATCTTCTTCCTCGGAGACTAGATATTTCCAACTTGCAGAGAACTACCTGGAAAGCTCCGTTGGGTCTTCCAGATTCGGCTTTCAGACGCGGGTTCTATTTTATACAGATTTTTTTTCTAAGTCTGGGGGTGGGGGGAGGTGGTGGGCGGAGGGCGGTGGTTTAATGAGGGGTTTGACGATGGCGTTTTTCTTAGTCTACGTCTGGAATTTATGACGGCGTTTTTCTGAGAAAACTCCGCCCATTGGGAGTTCGTCTCTTCACCCTCAGGTTGCAGCTCTGCATCAGCTCGTGAGAAGCCTGCAGGAGGGGGACGTGGTGAGGACCAGCCATGCCGGAGCGCCGGTTGGCCCGCCTCCACAGCTTCAGGGAGCGCCTCAGCGACACCCTCTCCGCCCACCCCAATGAGCTGCTCGCCCTCTTCTCAAGGTTCGCCATCTCTCCCTCTCTCTCTCTCTCTCTCTCATGATCACGTTTCTTGTCAGTGGTCTCCGCTACCGAAGTTTGCTATTGACTGCGAAGCTTTTGTTATCTGCATCTGGCAGAATGATCGCCGATTGATCTGATCTCTGATGAACTCAAATTGACATACATTTTTATCCATCACCTGCCCTCGGATGCCCAGGATTTCATGAATTTCTCCCGGAAGATAGACCCATTTACAAGATTATGCCAAGATCTCTGTCTGATGTCTCTGGATCGGTTCTTCGCAGGTTCTTCCAGCAGGGGAAGACCATGGTGCAGCCTCACCAGCTGCTTGCAGAGTTTGAAGCAGCGATCCCCCATGAGGACAAGGAGAGACTGAATCAAGGTGTATTCGGAGAGATTCTGAGGGCTGCCCAGGTGACCTACTGGATTTTCACTTCATCTTCCCATGACGAAGCTTTAATGGGGGAGCTCCTGTTCGATGCAGGAAGCCATCGTGCTGCCGCCATGGGTCGCTCTGGCCACCCGCCCGCTGCCCGGAGTCTGGGAGTATGTCCGCGTTAATCTGAAGGAGAAGGCTTTGGAGGAGCTGACTGTTGCTGAGTACCTTCAATTCAAGGAAGAACTTGTCAATGGAGGGTAAGAAAAAGCTATGGTTTTTGATTAATGTTAGAGGAACCCCATCACCCAAAAAATGATTTTTTAAATAATTATATATTTTTTATTTACACAGCCGTGATGGCAATTTTGCTCTTGAGCTGGATTTCGAGCCCTTTAACGCCTCATTTCCTCGTCCGTCCCAATCGACGTCCATTGGAAATGGTGTGCAGTTCCTCAATCGACACCTTTCCTCAAAGCTCTTCGTCGACAGGGACAGCATGGAACCCTTGATGAATTTTCTTCAAATGCACAACTACAAGGGAAAGGTATGATTGGATCTTTGAAACCTCATGGAATTTATTTGGCATCTGTTCCATTAAAATCCATATATATATATATATCTATATATATATTTCTCATCAATCTAGAGGCCATTTCTGTGATGCTTTGAATTCAGATGAAACAATAATAACTGTAATTTTGACTAAATTTCCCCAAAAAAAAAAACAATTCAGGGGATGTCTTTGATGTTTTGGATTTAGACCACATAAAGCTGATTATCTTTATCTGATGTAGATCTTGTGAGATTATGATCTAAGATCATACGGGTATAGTTATATGACATTAGATCAGTCAGAGTATGATTTCCCCCAGAGCATATGGGTGAAAAATATCTTCAGTACTTGCAACTAATCAGACAAATTCTTGATCCTGTAGACAATGATGCTGAACAACAGAATCCAAAGCCTGAGTGCCCTCCAATCTGCATTGAGGAAGGCAATGGATATACTCCGCAGTGTTCCGACTGAAACCCCATATTCATACTTCGACCACAAGTGAGTATTTTTATTTTTATTTTTTCATAATCGAATAATTTCTTCGACTTGATTGTTATAAACTGCGTGATGATTAGATTCCAAGAACTCGGTTTGGAGAAGGGATGGGGCAACTGTGCTGCGCGCGTTTCTGCAAATATTCAGCTGCTCATGGATCTGGTGGAGGCCCCGGATCCAAACACTCTGGAGAAGTTCTTGGGGACGATTCCCATGGTCTTCAACGTGGTGATCCTCTCTCCACATGGCTACTTTGCCCAGGCGAATGTCTTGGGGTATCCTGACACTGGTGGCCAGGTCAGCATCATATGATCACCGCCTCTTTCTTTGCTATATTTATCTTCAAGAATGCTAATTATTACCGCTCCATTTTACAGATTGTCTACATCCTGGACCAAGTCCGTGCCCTAGAAAGTGAGATGCTTACCAGGATACAGCAGCAGGGGCTCGACATCACCCCTCGAATACTCATTGTGAGTGTGAAAATAGTGTTTCTTCGATGAAAAAATATATATATAAAGATTACTTTTTTATTTCATCTTCTTTATTTTCTGCAAGCTTGAACATACATTTTGTCATTAAAAATATAAAATAATGCTAATTTTCTATTCTATCATTCCGGGTCAAGTTCGTATATTTCTTCTTTGGGTAAAAAAAGGAGTATAAAAAATAAAACCATTTTTCTATTAAGCCTCAAATACCAATTTTCACCTAGAAAATACATTTTTTTAGAATAAATAAATATGATTTTTTTTCTATCTTATCTTAGTTAGTAGCATGTTGGTCGATTCTGCTTTCATTAAAGATGGTGGCTCTCTGTCTGGTCTAGGTGACCAGGTTGCTCCCCGATGCTGTGGGAACCACCTGTGGGCAGCGCCTAGAGAAAGTCCTGGGCACAAATCACACTCACATCCTACGAGTCCCATTCCGCACAGAGAAGGGAATCCTCCGCAAATGGATATCTCGCTTTGAAGTGTGGCCTTACCTGGAGACCTTCGCTGAGGTGGGAAGCCCTCACTACTGGAGGGAATCAACCCCTTCATTTCCTGCCAAAAAAATACAAATAAATAAATTAATCTCACCTTTAATGGACCCAAATCTTTCTAATTCAGGATGTCGCGAGCGAGATCTCCGGAGAATTACAGGGCAAGCCGGATCTAATCATAGGAAACTACAGCGATGGAAACCTGGTCGCCTCACTGCTGGCATATAAACTAGGAGTGACTCAGGTACGTGTGGGAGGGGACTGTCACATCTGCCTGCATCTCGGAAGAGATCTCTCTAGATCATAATATCCCCTGTTTTCATGGTCAGTGTACGATCGCCCACGCATTGGAGAAAACTAAGTACCCGAGTTCTGATATATATTGGAAGAAGTTCGAGGATCAGTACCATTTCTCTTGCCAGTTCACGGCTGACTTGATCGCCATGAATCACGCTGACTTCATCATCACCAGCACCTACCAAGAAATTGCGGGAAGGTGTTATTTTCATGATCCATTGGTGCATTTAATGAAGTGAAATGCTAACTATCTGTTCCCAAATGCTGCTAAGTATGATTCTTGGTTGCTGTCTCAGTGGGGAGAGTGTGGGACAGTACGAGAGCCACACTGCCTTCACCATGCCAGGCCTCTACAGAGTGGTCAACGGGATTGATGTCTTCGACCCCAAGTTCAACATCGTCTCTCCAGGGGCTGACATGTCGATCTACTTCCCATACTCAGACCAGAGCAAGCGGCTCACTTCCCTCCACCCAGAGATTGAGGAGCTTCTCTTCAGTGAAGTGGAGAACGATGAACACATGTGAGAAGCCTCTGACCACCCCTTTTTGGCTGACATTTTGACTAATACTTGCACGGGTTTTTTCTCACAGATGTGTGATCAAGGACAAGAGCAAACCAATCATATTCTCAATGGCCCGGCTCGACCGGGTAAAGAACATGACGGGTCTGGTTGAACTGTATGCCAAGTGCCCCCGGCTCCAGGAGCTGGCCAACCTTGTGGTCGTTTGTGGGGATCATGGGAAGGAGTCCAAGGACCTTGAAGAACAGGCTGAGTTCAAGAAGATGAAGCAGCTCATCAAAGACTACAACTTAAACGGCCACATCCGATGGATCTCTGCTCAGATGAATCGGGTCCGGAACGGTGAGCTCTACCGCTGCATTGCTGACACCAAAGGGGTCTTCGTCCAGGTATCTCTACTTTCTTCCTGCTTGACTGTGCTAATGTATCTCGGGATATAATCTGATGGGTGTTTTTCTTTTACTTTAATAGCCTGCCTTGTATGAAGCCTTTGGGTTGACAGTGATAGAGGCCATGACCTGTGGATTGCCCACCTTTGCAACAATGAATGGAGGACCCAGGGAGATCATAGTCAACGGTGTCTCGGGCTTCCACATTGACCCATACCAGGGCGACAAGGTGGCTGAAACCTTGGTCAACTTCTTTGTCACTTGCAAGGAAAATCCCACACACTGGGAGGGGATCTCACAGAACGGCTTAGAGAGAATCTACGCGAAGTGAGTCATCTATACTTTAAATTGTTGAAGAATTATATTTCTCGAGTGTGATTATTTGTTCTTGGTGGCTTCGACACTTGCTGAAAATAGGTACACTTGGAAGCTGTACTCAGAGAGGTTGATGACTCTATCTGGGGTCTACGGGTTCTGGAAGTATGTCTCTAATCTGGAGAGGCGGGAGACTCGGCGCTATCTGGAGATGTTCTACATCCTCAAGTACAGGGATCTGGTAAGATTCTGACAGGCTGTCCTCTATGTTTCCTCAGACCAATGGGAAAGATCGAATAAATGGGTGATTAAAGTTTCTAGTCGAGGAGAAACCCATTAGGGATTTCCGACTCAAAAAATGATTGCTAATGAAGATTATCAAACCTCTCTGCCCTCAAGTACTGGGATCTGGTGAGATTCTGATAGGTGACACTCATCCTCTCCTTAAATCCATGGGAAAGAACCAACTGGTGATGAAGATTTCTAATTGAGAGGGAACCCATTAAGGATTTATAACCGAAAAGGAATCTGCTGTTTTATTCAAGATATAACTAGATTTCTCTGTTGCTTACCATTTGTGAAATTGTTGCTTCTTCCAGGCTAAATCTGTTCCACTTGCTGTTGATGGGGAGCCTGCCAGGTAATTCACAAACCCATCAGCTTGAGGATTTCATGCTACAGAAAATAAGGCTCGAGTCATAAATCATGCACGAACTTGGATTAATAATGAGGGCATGCTTCCCTCATCATCACTCATTCAACCCTTTCCTGACACCCCGTTGTAATAGACTCTGTCAATCTCTTTCCTCTATGATCTTTGTCCTTCCCCAAATCTGCTAAGCCGACCCTATGCACAAAAAGCGTACACAGTCTTACAAAGTCTGTGAATAAAATAAAAATAAAAATAAAAATGAGATTCTCTGTTTCTGAATCAGTCACTGTTGGACTGCCATGCTGTCAGTTTCAAAAGCTTCCACAGAACTGTAAATAAGGGCATTCAGTTGGATCTTGGAGTGGCTAACTCCACGCTGAGGATGATATTATAGTACCCATAGTAATTGAGCTTCTTGATCACCTTCTCCGCGTCCCCCAAGGAACCCAAAGGACCTGCTGATACCGGTCCTCTGATCCACAGCAACGTGCATCCGGTTAAGGATCCAAATGCGCGCAGGAACTCCTGCAGGTCGGGCTCCCAGGTGCCCTCTGACAGACTCGCGATCCCCACGGAATTCCTGTCGGTTTGGCGCTTTTCAGGCAAGCTTCGCTTGCCTGAACCAGTGTTGCACCATCAAAGCCTGGATTGTGGTCGATGAATGATTCACTAGTCGCCCTTCTTATGGAATGTTCCGCACACGATAAGAACAGGGCGGGTTTTCACTGCCATGATGATTCGGGAGTCTTGGCCTCCTCTGCCATGCTACCGGCAGAATGGGGAGAATTCTACCGACTTAATTTGTTTCTGAAGAAAGATGATAATTCTTTTAAATGGAACTCTTCGATTTCAACCATTAAATTAAAACATCATCTTAGGAATCAGTCATCTCCGACATTAATAACAGCGATTAATGCTCGTACATTACCTCTGGCCAACTCAAGCAATCGACAACCAGATGCCAATCTTACATGAAAATTAGAGTTTTTAGGTCTATATCAACATTATATATGCAGGCTACAGAAATCATGACCAGGGATATCATCAAGAATATGGCACTCTAAGATAAAAACTGCACAATGATACAACATCTGCAAGATGCCGAGAACATCTCTCTTTGGGGCAGAATCCACCTACTGAATGACCTCCGACTTCGAAATATTTTCCCCAAGAGCCCGCTCCTTAATCCAGGGAAGACGGGATGTCCAATTCGTACTCAGGATGTAAAACTAAAGCCAGATCCTCAAAATAATGTTGCTGAATGTAAGTTCATCCATGTGAAAAGAGAGAATACGCATCATTCATGCCCTCCCCAAAGACGAACTAATTTTGCTGCAGAGGCGAAGAGAGAAAAACCAGGCTAGGAAGCAGGAGATGCAAACCTGGTGCGCGGGGGCCTTCAGGGACGATCTCCTCGGCAGAAGTCACAGAGATCCGACTCCCTCCATCCTCACGACAGCCGTCCCCGATCTCTGGCCCAATTCCGCCTCTCCATGGCCTTCTTGCTGCCATTCACCTTCCCCTTCTCCGCCTCCTCACTGAACCTGGCACTCCGCCACCTTCTTCACCCCGTCTTCAACGGGATAGACCACAACCGGCGGCAGCAGAAAACCATGAGTCCTCATCGATCTTCTCCCCCTCTCCGCAAAGTTTGGCTCCCCTATTTAAATACTTTCGCGGTGACTGGGAGTTTAACCGCCTCCGTCATCCGTTCGGATTCTAATGCCCAGTGATGAAGCCAAACAGACCCGATAACACGTTTGAGCCGGTAACCGATCCAACTCGTTTTTTACAAGTAATTATATTATTAAATATAAAAATGGGAAAATACAACGGATATATCCATCTGGAAATATCCCGAATATTATCCCAATACAGATGCAACTTAGTTAATGTTAGGTGGAATATACTACATTTGAAGATAATTTATAATTAATTAAATATTAGCTATTATACTTCTCCATGAAACTATTATTAAAATGTTTTAATATCCGGAAATTACCGCTTATTTCAGGGTTTATTTTTAAAAAATTGCGAGACCTGGGGATCTGAGATGGACTGGGGTTTAAGTGGGCATCGAGCGGGAGGAATCCCGCCAAGCGCATCAGAAGCCGCCGGGGCCACGCCGGGGAGAAGCACCACCAGCAGCGGGAGTATATTGAACAGGCGGAGTGTCAGTCCTCGGCTTCTTCTTCTTCTTCTACTACTACTCTTCGTCTTCGTTTTCTTCTTCTCCAGGCGTCATCATTTTATTTTTCTCCATTCCATCGGGCTTGGGCTTGGTGAACTGTGATGATGCCGTATCATTCGCTTCGTTTCTCTTGATTCTGTTTAATTTTTTTGGTTTTCCTCTTGGTCTATTGCTGGTTGTGCGTGATTATTTGTTTTGACTTTTTTCAGCAATTTCGATGGGGAGTTCGGCCAGAAGAATCAACGTCGATAAGGCTGTTGCTCTTGGTGATGACCTGATCGCGGTCCTTAATATGAAAAGAGAGAGTGACAGCTTGATGGAGTGCCTGGAAGGAGCGGAGACGCTCCGATGTTCATGGGAAGCTGAGTTCTGCGAGGTTCAGAGTTCAATAGAAGGTTTAGTGCGTTTGCTTTTCCTCGTAATGTCTGCTTATCTTTTTTACCATTTTAATTTCCATTATCTTGTGCATTAAATTTAAATGGGCCTCTTCAGCTTTCTGGATTTCACGTAGGTCTTTTCCCAATGCTATGCTTTGGAAATACTTATTGTATATCCATATGAACTACTTCCTCATAACTTGTAACGTGATAAATTTCTATAAATATTCTGTAAATTTATCATATTTAAGGCCAATATTTCGACTCTAATATTTGTTCATTATTGCCAGAGGGCGCCTAAGATACGTCTCCATTGAGAAACCTAAAAATTAAGATGCGTCTCCATAGGAGCTCATGACTGTAAAGTGGATCGACTGGGGATGTAATTCTAAGAGAGTAGGACCACTATTTACACCATTGTTGTGAGTATCTTTGCTCTGTGCTTACTAATAAATTTGCTCACGAGTCCTGTGATGAAAAAGTCCACAGCTTTCAGTGATGAGGATGTTATAATAACCTTTTCTGTTACATCAGAAAAGTGCATTGTAACTAGCAATAGAAACTTTACATTAGGAAAGAAATATATCATAACTGGTCATGGAAGAGCTAGGAGTTGATTTCACCGTTGATTGACTGCCTCGGCGCGTGGGTCTTCCTTCCAGCATATACTTTAAAATAAGTCTCATCATGTGCATGCATTTTCATGTCAGTTCCCACATATGGTCCCTTTTCACTGGATTCAATAACAAATTCTTTTGAGCTATAGTCTTGAAACTTCAGTTCAATTTAAAATTATATTTGGTCCAACTGAAATTTGATTGTTTCTAAGGGATCAAACATGATTCTATTCGCTCTTCATTTCTTTTGTCCAGCATGTGAGTGCCCTGCACCGGATTAGGGTAATAGTGAATGGGTTATGCTATCTATCTTGTTGAAGTCCAAACATATCACACGGCAATTTAGTTAATTTTTTTCAATTCAGTAGATTATCGTATCCTGTCCTATTAAGATATGATTGTATTCTTAATGGTTCACTGCGAGGCCAAGTGATTTGTTAAGATATATTGATGAGTTCATCAATTTTTCTGACTTTTCACCTGTTAATTTCCTCTTACTTGGACTTTAACTGTCATTTCTGACATCAAGATTATCTGACATTTCCGAGTGCAGGCTGTCACCAGAGGATTGAGGTGTGCAAACAACAGATAGATGGAGCAAAGAATGAAACAGTTTCTGATGAAGAATTTGAGCGTCTTCAGAGTGAGTTGGAGAAGGAAGTGAACGATGAGAAATTACTTCTCAAGGAACTTAGATAAGCATTAGCCCTTTCCTGTGCATTTTACCTACCAAACATGCATTTAAACTTCGGCTGATATTATAGTTACCTTCCTAACACAGAAATCAGAGATAAGATTGGTGATCTTGAGAGTAAGAGAATTTCCATTGAAAACCAGAGGGCAGACATGAAGAGAAAAGAGAAAGATGAACTGAGGATGCAGTGAGTTATTCTTGATTTACTCTAATTTAGCTGTGATTTGGAACCTGTGACTCAAGTAGTGTCTTTCCCACTGTTGCGCTTGAACTTCCAAGTTTCTTTCATTTCTGCACAAGTTCTTGGGTACAGCTTTTTAATGGTTTTAACTCGAAAGCTTTTTTCATGATGGTCTGAGGATCGCTGCATTTACAAGCCAGTGTTTGTCTTATGAGAAATTGTTCCTTTTTGCTCAAACATCTCAGAAACGTATAGCTTAAGTTAAAAAGTCAACGCTTTTGCTTAAGAAGACAGTGACTGGTACCACGAATGATCAATGATTTTTCCTTCTTCAGAACAATATTTTCCGCTCTCTTCGATTGCAGCACTCCTCTTTCACAGTATTCCTGCTTGTTTTCCTTATATCATTGAAAGCAACATGTGAGCTTGCTTATTTTCTCGAAGCGCCTGCCATTTTTTGAATATCTGATCGATATGTTCGCTTTTCTATATATTAAAAACTTACTGAAGAATAATCTATTAAGATCTTATCCTTTTCCTCCAGGAACATGCTCTGTATGAGCACCCAAGTGACGCGGATCATCCCTGATTTAGATGATCGAGTGGGCATCTCTGGCTGTATCCTTCTCTACAAGAAGCTTCTTCCACTCATCCGAGAAACATATATTTCATTGTGTTGGAAGATTTTCTCTATGGTTGGTTTCCTTACAGGGTATGGGTGCAGATATTGTGGACAGCGAGAAGAACAAGTTTGAGAAATTCCAGTTCGAATCCACACCCTCCCCATTCGAGACCTGCAACAAGCTGTGGAAGATGCTCGAATCATGAACATGATGTTCTTCCACTTTGACCTTAGAAATCGTTCCGGTTTCCTGTTTTGGTTGCCATGAACACTCAGAAATGGTGCCCGATTAGTCCCTTTTTATGGGTTTTTTCTATTTTAGCTGTATGGAGCTATATATTTCCTCATTTTTCATGAAAATAGTCCGTTTTTGTGGTATTTCAATTAATTATTCGACTTTTTCTCCGGAATTATTGATCTCAACGATCCGATGAAGGATTTTTTTTAGTGCCAAAACTGTTTTCAGGGTGGTGCTAATGGGCCGTGTAAGCCCAAATAAGTTGAGGTATATATGAGAAAAACCTTAAAAACAAATGTATTATACTTATCTACTTGGAATTATTACATGAGGATATAAGATGGAGTATAAGATGGATGGGAAGTTTTATGCAATAATTCCGCTAGGCCTACCTCCCGGTGCTTTCGGACCCGTTTACCCGATTTAGTGAGCATTTCGAGTTTTGAAGTTGGATCCGACAGCTCGATTGGAATTGGCTTAGCTCTTGGGCTTGGACTCGATGTGGCCTTAAATAGGCCCAACGGAGAGATAGCCCGTTAACGGTGCGGCTTTCTTCCACGGCTGGCAACCTAACTGAGCACGCTCTCTCTCTCTCTCTCTCTCTCTCCCCCCCCCCCCTTCTCTAGTTTCTATTTCGTATCTTGCCTTTCCCCCCTGCGACACGGTGCCGCCGAAGCGGCCAGCGGTGGACGAGGTGGATTCTCTCCCGGAGGAACTCATCTCGGCAGGTTCCCTTTCTCGCTTCTCCTTTTCTCTCCCCCGGATTTCGTACCCTGTAATTTGCGGTTCGTAGGGATTTGTGACGGGCCGGAGAGGCTATTTTTTATTTCAATTTTGGGGGGTTTCCCGTCGGAGGGGTTTGGTGTATTGAATCATGTGGATGGATTTCAATTTTGGGGGGTTTCCTCTCGTGGATTAGCGACCCATATGGGAGGTGGCCGTGGTGCCTCCCCGGAGCGGAGACCCCAGAAAAAGTTACCTCCTCGGCTGTTGTTGCATGGCTGAATTGTAATTGCTTGTCGGGTTTAATCGCCATCTGTCTATCCCTAATTTTAGAAATATTTTTGTGGACTCCCGAGTTATTTGGGATTTTTCTGGCGTTCCTCGTGCGCTCTGGGCAGTACCCTGAAGGAAGCTTTCGGGAATGAGTTGTCTATAATTTTTTTCTGCATCATTTTCTAGATTCTGAATTATCTCCCCGAGAATCTAGTTATGGTGTTTGAATGAGGTAGTTCGTTTCATCATCATCATCGAGAAAATTCTTTCCTGATTGTATTTATGGCCTTGTCTTTTTCCCCATCTAGCGTTCCATTGAAGATGCAGACAGGGACGGGCTGAAAATTTTCTGTTTTTGTGAATTATCTATGAAACGTAGCAAACTGATAGATCTTGTGAGGGAAATACGTAATATTGTGCCAAGGAAATATTCATATGTGCCTAGTTTTGTGTTATCTTCTCTCCCTCGGCGCTTCTTCTCAAGTCGTACTTTATTTTCAGACCAAAGACTTCCGATTGCACACTGTTTTCCCGTTCCTTTCATTTTCACTTTGTATTTTCTGGTCATTGATGAAAAAACCTAGTTCCCTGTTAAATGTTTAGGTATTTTTCGTCTATTTTGTGCTTGATCATTCTCTTGTGTTGCTCTTTAATAGCATCGTACATTTATTGAGTTGGCCAACTAAAACAGTTGTTACCAGGAGTTTCTTTTCCGTTTTGAGTTTCCTGCTGACACAAGTCGTAAACCTTTATTGTGCAGTGGGAATACTTTTGTGATATACTGTGAATTCTTATTGAGCTCATGGGGAAATCCAAAGAAATAGTTTCATGCTCATCATTCCCAAAGTTTGACACAGAAAGCACAATAATTGGCACAGGGAGCCATTATTGCAATGACCCTGGGCCTGGTGTCTGGACTGCAGCTGAGGGTGGTCCATACAATTTTCCCCATGGCAGAAATTTCCAAAGTGGATACAGTTCAATCGAAGATGATGCTAGGCCTGTGCAGCAAAATGTTCTGCCGGAGGTGAATTTAGAAAATGTTCTGAAAGGGGTGATTGCAATAATAACTGGAAAAAATAGGACCACCTCTCATAATGGAGCTCAGGGTGGTGCTGACTCAAATGTGTCATTCCTGGAATCTAGTAAAGACGGAGATAGCTTCTTGCATTCCTCTGTGTATGCACCAAGTGCACCTTCGCTGCATGAGGCAGAGGCTCTCAAATTCTGCGACTATAAAGAAGTTCTGCTAGCAGAGCCACCAGAATGGCTGCCAGATAGCCATTCTTCCACTTGCATGCAGTGTGGTTCCCCATTCAAGGCCCTAACGCGTGGGAGGCATCATTGCCGCTTTTGTGGTGGTATTTTCTGCCGGGCCTGCACCAAAGGAAGATGCTTGATGCCTGTTAAGTTCCGGCAGAGAGAACCACAGAGGGTGTGTGACAACTGCTATGACCGACTCGAGCCATTGCAGGATATCCTGATAAAATCCATGAGTAATGCAATGCAGACTGCAAAACACGATGTTATGGACTGGACCTGTTCTAGGGGGTGGTTAAACCTGCCTATCGGTTTATCAATGGAATATGAAATTTACAAGGCATCAAACTCGTTAAGGAGTTATTGCCAGGTATTTCTCTTTTATTATCGAATTATATTTTTTTAAAATTCGATTTGTAGAAGTCTTTTACTGAAACGCATCCATGCTGAGCGGACATTTATTAAAAAGTTTGCTTCCTTGACAATGGGAACATGCAGGTTTCTAGATTGGATCCTGAGAAATCCATCCCAGCGGCTGTCCTGAGAGGAGCAAAGGGACTTGCTATCTTAACAGTGGCAAAATTTGGTGCTGTCCTCACTTACAAAGTTGGTACTGGTTTGGTTGTTGCTCGGAGGTCAAATGGTTCATGGTCTGCACCGTCTGCTATTCTCTCTGTTGGTTTAGGATGGGGACCACAGGTGATGTTATTGCTTGTGCATAGAAAGAAAATTCTTTAATTTTTTGTCTAAAATCTTTGAAAATATCTGCATGTTGGGCTATATTTCTCCAGTTCTGTGGGTTTAGCCGATTTGAATAGGCAATTGATGAGAAGTATTTCATAATCTTGTTAGCTGAAAAACTTCTGTTCAGTTTAAATACGAGATATAAAAACATGTTGCCATCCAATCTACAAGAAAAACCCCGTTTCAACTACCAAATTAGCGTGGCATTTATTGATGTTCCTTGTTTACCTGAGACTTTATGCGGTGGTAAGAAATCTTTAGGAATAAATTATTCTATAGTACCTTATCAATGCTTAGTTTTTCTGAATCAACTCCTCTCAAAAGTGTGTATGAATATTTTATGCTTTTGAGCATATGCACACTTTTATCCCCAATTTCTTTTTTTTTTCCTCCTACTTGGCTGGATATCTTTGACTATTCTTTTTAGCTTTCCAACCTTTTCTAACTTGATAGTATTTTGACATAATTTTTCCCGTATTATATCCCCAGATTGGCGGTGAGCTAACGGATTTTATACTCGTGCTTCATGGTTCGAAAGCCGTGAGGGCATTTACCAGCCACATGCATTTTTCTCTTGGGGCTGGTTTGAGTGCTGCAGCAGGGCCTGTCGGAAGAGTTCTAGAGGCAGATCTTCGGGCTGGAGATCGAGGGTCTGGAATGTGTTATACGTACAGCTGCAGTAAAGGTAAAAACCCCCAAATATATCATATCTCCATTGAGTGCTAATTCTTTTTAGCTGCCCGCCCCACAGGCAATATCTACTTCGGACCAAAGTGGTATGATTGTCTGCCTGTCGATCTCCCCTATAGGGAAATCTTTAGTTTTTATGGGGAAATTTTTATCCAGCAGCAGAGAAATGAGATGGGGAGGGAGGGAATGTAGAGGAAGGAGAAAGTAGAGATTGGAGATCTTTAGAGAGGGGGAGAAGAGAGATGCCATCAGTGCTAAGGCAGAGACAGACTCATCACCAGGACTATTTGTGCAGATATATTTTTCCATTCATGCTCTTCTGGTACGATAAGTTTTATCGATTGATGTTTCATTCCTTCAACACTGAAAACCTCGTAATAATATTGAACAGGTGCCTTTGTGGGGGCATCGCTGGAAGGAAACATGGTGATGACGAGGCTGGAGACTAATGCCCGCTTCTATGGGGATGCCTACTTGGCTACTCATGACATTCTTTTGGGGATGGTGGAGAAGCCCAGAGCAGCCGAACCCCTGTACTTGGCTCTTGATGATCTCTTCACAAGCCTCTGAATGTTAGCATCCATGGCTCTCTCGGTTCTCTGCTCAAGCCATATTGTACTTTTATGTACATTTATTGTTGTTTATTCCTCCCATGCTCATTTGTAAATATGGAGTTGAAGCTATGCTGAAGGTGCCTGCAATTGCTAGATTACACTGTAATTGCAATGCCCGTTTGAGATTAATGTTGCCAAGTTGAAGAAATACTCCTTTTGTTACAGGATTCTGCCCGTTTCTGAATAATGTCACTAGCCAAATAGCTCTCATGCCTCCATTCATGTTGTATCAAAGGGGTTATCTTCGTAATATCTTACAACTGTTATTACATTTTGGTGATTACAATACAAGCACTCTCCCAAATGTCTTCACATATATATAGTATTAAAAGACTTGAAATTTAATTTTCAAGCTGAATTGATGAGTTTCCCCTATTTTCTGGGTGTTTGAATTCTTGAGGAAACTATTGGTGAGGATACACTTGCAATGGAGATTGGATAAGGGACTTTAGCAAAATTAAATTGGATTGGTTTATTGCAGAGGTGCTATTTAAAAGCTCTTGGGATGGGATTTTTATGGATTCATAGATATTAATAGTTGGAGTTCAGATATTTAAGTCTTAATTAGTTGAAGATTCTCTCTAAGTCTAGCATATGAGATAATTTTGAGGACATAAAACCAAATGACATTATATGTTAACCACTTATTTATTAGACCCAAGTATATAATTTCACATGATTTATGGTTCATAGTGAATCAAAATGTATGCATCTATTAAACATAGACATTTTGATCTTTATAGACTTAATTGAAAAAACAAGCTTCTTGCTGAAAGTTCATCACAAACCAATTAATGGATAGGATTCCGATGAAGAAATTTGAGGGTCCTATCTGGCACAAGATTCACTACAAAGGTAGCATCAACAAATGTGTGGTTCAATGCATCAAGTGGCTATCCATTTTATAAGGTAAAATAATCTATCTCACATATGTTCCTATTAACATGATAATTTTTTTTTAAAAAAAATCTTGTAATAGGTTAATGGTAGTAAAATGTTGTAAAATTACATCTCATTTTTCACTAGGTAACTAAATGCCTAAGATTTGGTAACTTGCATACATTATAATAAATTAAAGTCATAAAAAGCTATTGTAAATTTGCAATTTTATTGAGATTAGACAACAAAGAATCACAAAAGAAAGTATTAGAGAACATCCCATGTTTTAAACGTACATAACTCTCGTAAGATGCTGATGCCATCAGTTAGAAAATATGTAAAGGCTTGACTTTGTTTGACAACTTTCCTTCACTTTTCTTCTATAGTGATGTCACAAGCATAGGTTGACTTCTATGCTCAGTTGTTTGATCAGACTCTAAGTTAATATCAAGAGGAGTTGCAATTTCAGCCAGTATGGATTTTTTGGAATTAAAATAATCAAGATTTCACTAAAGAATTTATTCATTTGACAAATAACTCATTGTAAACCACATAAATAAGACATAAGACCGTTTTCATTTAACATGACCGTTTATGTCCTTATTAACTTCCCAACTACCATGATGTAGTAAATCTTATTAACTTCCCAACTACCATGATGTAGTAAATCAGTTTCTTACCTTATTATTGGTTGAGCAAGATATGGTTATTTAATGGGCTCATAAAGAACAGTTATACTGCACCATATCTAGTGATCATCTACCCATAGACCCGGGCAGCCAACGTGGACAAGAAGAGAGGGGAAGCAGGTGGCGCGGGGAGAGAGGGAATAGGGCCTTATGCCTCCCGCATTGTAGATGAATGGTGAACATGTATGCGTGGGACCATGGGAATGAAGGTGGTGGGAAGTGGCATCGACGACATTGTGTGGGTCGCCGCTTTTACCGGAAAATGCATCGTACTTATTAGCTGTCATTTATTAAATGCAACATTTAATATTGAAATTAGATTTTATAAAATGGTCAAACAAACGTGTATAATGTTCAGGCTACTGACTGCCATCCTTCTTTTTTACGACCACATGATGGCCCATCCCTCGAGCCAACCAACGCCATAAAGGACAAGATGGCAAGCTTTCCTCCTCCAATCTTCTCCTTCTATCTATCTCCTGGTTCCTCCCTACTATAAACTGAGGAAGAGGTCCGAAAGTTTTGTAAGACAGCCGTTGGTTCTCCCAGCTCCCGACCTAAAACTACGTCCCCCTCGTCCTCCCTACATAATCTGCTCTCACTTTGAGGGAGAGAGAGATGGCAGATGTTCCGGCCATGTGGGAGGACTTGGTTCTTAGGTCCATTGCTAAGATCGACAGGAACGACTTCTTGCGCTATTTTCCCCTCGTCTGCCTCCCCAAGGTCGGCCCTTCGGAGGATCCTCTGGCGGGACTCGAGACGTTTGATGGTCCGGGGCCCTGGGACAGGACCTTGCTGGAGATAGAGGTGGAGAACCCCATGGACCTTGCGGCTGGCCGCAAGAAGATGCTCGTATTCTCCGGGAACGACTACTTGAACCTCTCCTCCCACCCCGCCGTACGCCAGGCCGCCGCCAAGGTCTCCGCGGCTCCAAATGGCTTCCTTAGATCCCTAAAAAAAACACTTTTTTCTTCGATGAAGATTATTTCTCTCCTGTCTTAATGGTCTCTCGCCTCGGTGAGACATGCAGGCCGCGTTAGCGTACGGCATGGGCCCGAGAGCGTCCTCTCTGATCACTGGCCACACAGACTACCACCGCCTGCTGGAGAGCAATTTGGCGGAGATGCACAAGAAGGAGGCCTGCATTATCACCCCCACGGGCTTCGCCGCCAACACGGCCTTCCTCTCGGCTCTGGGGAGCATCGCCTCCCTCACTTCGGCCGGCAGAAGGCCGGCTAAACACGAGAAGATAGCCATCTTCTCCGACGGCCTCAACCACGCTTCCATCATCGACGGGCTGCGCATGGTGGATCGTCACCAGGAAGCCGACGTCATTGTGTACAGGCACAACGACATGGGCCACCTCGACGAGCTCCTCTCCAACTCCCCCGCTGAGAGGAAGGTCGTCTACACCGACAGGCAAGCACAAGGGATCCCTTCCCTCCTCTGGATTGACTTCATACCCCACCTGCTACCATGCAAAACCTAATTAGATTTCGTTTCTCTGCCGTAGAACAGCATCTTCAGCATGGAAGGAGACTTCGCCCCTATGCTGGAGCTAGTTCAGCTCCGGAAGAAGCACGGGTTCCTTTTTGTCATTGACGATGTGAGTAAACATCGATGCATCATATCCTCCGATCAACATGGTCGCGCCGTCTTTCTTATAACTGTTCTTCAGTTTAGTGATCGATCTATTTAACTTGCAGGCCCATACGACGCTCGTCTGTGGCAAGCATGGGGGCGGCATTACGGAGGTCTACGGCATCGAGGACCAGATCGACATATGCGTTGGGAGCTTGAGCAAGGCCACCGGCTGTATGGGGGGGTTCATTGCTTGCAGCAAGAATTGGAAGAAACTGATCCAAGGGAAGGGCCGCCCTTACATCTTTTCCACGGCGTCGCCGTTACCCGTCGTCGCCGGTTGCTGCGGTAGTTTCCCTTCCATTTTGCCTCCCCCTAATTGATTCATCGACGGAGTGGTAAGCACCGCCGAGTGACAAAGATCTAATCTTTTGTGGGGTGGGAATGCAGCCGCTGTTATGGTGGCGAAGAAGGAGTCCTGGCGCCGGGAAGCAGTGTGGAGGAGGGTGCAAGAGTTCTCTGCCATGACTGGCCACCAAGTATCAAGCCCCATCATTTCCCTCGTCGTAGGCACGGAAGAGGCGGCGCTGCGCGCTAGCAAGCACATGCTGGACTGCGGATTCCATCTGACGGCGATCAGGCCCCCGGCGGTTGCTCCTGATGCTTGCCGGCTGCGTTTGACGCTGACGGCCTCCCACACCACGGAGGATATCAGGAGGCTCGTGGCTGCACTCTCCCAGTGCATTCATTCTTTTCCAGTGACGACAGATCACATCGCGGCTGGACTTCAGTTTCCCAAGCTCTAAACATGGAGCTTGACTCCACTTTAAAAATCCTCCGAAGTGTTATCTCAATTTCATACGTTCCGATTATAATAAACCTGGTCGGACGCTTGTTGTGTGAAATGAACGAGTGGTATTGAAATAAATGAAAAGTTTTCGGAATGTTCTTCGGCGGTGAAAGGACCTCGCTGCGACGAATCGACGGACCTGAGGCCATTTGCCTCACCTGTGTTTGTGTTGTACTGATTTTCTTGCTCAAGGGTAGGCGATGACTTACTTTGGCTGTACATGCCATCTACGCTGGAGAAACTGAGATGGCTCTGAGGGTTGAGTTCGTGCTAAACCTTGTCGAAGCCATACTCTTAAATGTATATGGAACTGCTCATCACCCAGGACTAGATGGCATCGGGAGGAATTTAAATTTAACGGGGAGTCTCCCCCCATTGAAGAACATTCAATGTGCCCACTTACGGCCCGGTCAAGAACCCGTCGGCAACACGTGGGAGTTCTAAGATCTACGCCTGCCCTTGATATCTCCACATGTACGTCAAGCAAATGGGGGCTTACCATCAATAAAAGGCATGGTGACGATGCTAAAAAAAGAAAGGATTGTTGTCATTTGCTCCAAATCCTTTTAGGTCCCATATGCCGCATAAAATAATATCTTATCTTATCAACCCAACTAGCTAGAACCTATCGTGGCCGAAGCAGTAAAAGAAATGGGAAACGTGGCCGATCGAGGAAGAGCAAGAACCTCTCCCCTAGACAAGATCGTGCATAGAAGATCTCACTGACTTTAATAATATATGACTCTTCCCACTTTTTGGATCTATGCCTGCTGCCGACACTATGGGATCCTATCAGCTCGGTCGTTACCGTGTCTAGTGCGAGTTTTCAATACGGACACTACGCCTCTAGCCACTAGTTGGAAGCTCAAGATCTACTCCTGTTCTAGATCTCCACCTGCACATGAAATTAATGTGGGTTTACCATCGATAAAAAAACTGGTGACAGTGTTAAAAAAAAAAGAAAAAAAAAGAGCATCCCAACCGTGCATCCCATGTGCAATTAAATACACCTTTTCAAGTCCTAATGGCCAAATGAAATTTTGTGAAATGTTCTCCACGTGAAATGAACTAAGTGACAATCTAGAGATAAAAACTAATATTCTGCATAAAATATTGTGAGAGAGACAATGACCTGTAATTACCACACTTGGGCTGACTTTGATGTTATTGAAACCATCCCTAGAAACCGTCAAATGAAAATTTGAAGGAAATATCAATGAATCATTGACATAACTCCATAAAATCATACTTGAAACATTCTCAATGTTAGAGTATATGCATTTAAAATTGTCATTTTCTGTCAAACCATATTACAAAAGACTATTGAATTTCACATGACATGTTACTTGTGTTTATTGACTGATAAGTCTTCATTATCATGAGTTAATAATTAGTAAATAATATAGTTTTAGCCTTAATTCATGATAAATAGACTTATATTTGTGTTAAAGAATGACTTTTGGTTTTCAATTGATTAACGTGAAATTTTGGGTAATTATGTGATTTTATATGATTTTTATAGTCTTACTTTTGAGATAAATGAAGAATAAAAAATAAAAATAAAAATATTGCAAAAATGGGGGGACCCACCGGGCCCGCAAGCGGGTCGGAAGCACAGTCAGGGAGTAAACCGCGAGCAGGGGCTCGAGCGGCTTGGCTTGTGGACGGACCGACAGGGCACGCGTACACCACTCTCCTTCCACATCATCGGTGGCCAGCCGGCTGTGGGGCAAGGAGTGGTCGTACACGCGAGAGATGGGACTTTGTTGACAAACCTAACATTACTATATATTCGCCCGAAAAATCGGCGTACAACCGATGTGGGACTAAACCCCCGTCACACCTTCCTCAGAAGAGGTGGGCAACCAACGCGGGTTCGAATCCTCCTAGAGTCAAAATTCATATATTTTTATCTGATTATCGCGACTTTCCTGCAGATCACCGGTGAAGGATTAAGCAACAAGAATCGCTGGATCATCGGCGAAAATCTCATCAACACGATTCGTGGAGCATTACTACTAAAATTGTTGAACGATTCACGATAAAAGGATCGCGAATCCATCGAGTAAATGATCTCCGATTGATCGACGAACAAGCCGTCGTCGGGAAGAGGACGATCCACCGTGAGACCAATCGTCACCTCCTGAGAGCGTACCAGATGCGATGAAGAGCCTCCTCTTGCTGTGCGGACCTGAGGATGAAGCTCCCTGACACGCACCCTACCTCCATCCAACGCCTCTCCATCGGGTGACAGCCGCCGGAGACGATTCGACGACCCACTTCATTGATCTCTAGACTTCGCGAGAAGATCTAGAGATTGCCCACGTCGTCTTTGTCCAAGGAGAGCCTTCGAGGCCGTGGAAACTAGAAAATACGAACGCGAATCGCCGTCGCGACACCGGAACTCTATTTTCTTGCTTTCAATTTAATTTACGCTTCATTTAGTGATACTTTGTGTGATTTTAATTTACCAAACTATACTTCGTTCAATTACGATTCTTCCAACTTTTACAGATCTTAATTTGATTAATTAAGTCGTCTGTAATCGCTTACGTAAGAATCGCCGGGCGGGACTCTATTTTTGCCTGATTCACGTTTGCCGGGCGCTGACGTCATCCTGATGTCCGCACCCTTATTTCCTTTTTTTCGTAAATTTTAAATATATTTCCTTTTTATTTCCTAGTATAAAATTTGTAAGAAAATCATATTCATTGAAAAAAAATTTGAATAATTTCTAGATATTATATTACATCTCTGTGATTGACCTGGAAAATTACTGCTATTTTTGGAATTTTTATTGAATTCTAATTGATATATTTATTTAAAAATACTTCTAAATATCTAAAAATTCGTATTTTCTAGTTTTATAAATTTTATATTTGCATGATTTAATATACAACGACTGAGTCACGTCATTGACCATTAATACATTAACTTATTTAAAAAAATTATGTTCCTGCCTAGCTGGAAATACTAATTACAATGGTTTTTCCAAGTCCATACATGCCAGTAACTGGTTAACATCTAATTTTATTTCATAGTTAGTGAATACTTCATTCTACCTTCTTCGATTATGACTAAAGGATGTCCATGCAATGATGACATTCACTTGAAATGTGAACCAATCTATCATACAAATTGCTCAAACATACTAAACATGCTTCTTAATGTATATTTCTTCATCTTACATGCCATTTATAAATGTAATCTTGATGCTGATTTGATGGATTTCATGATGATATAGAACTAATTTTGCTTTAATTTAACTCAAATAGGTGCCATTTTTGAAAAATGAAGATATATATATATATATTCTTCATATCCCTTTACTATTAATGTAGGTTTAAATTTCTAAATGGAGTTTCATTAGTCTTTAGTTTCTTTCTTGAAAGCCATTTGCATCATAATATTTTACAACATCTGTATCTTTGGTCATTTGTGTATTCAATTTCATTATTCATAGCTTCTTACCAAGAAAAACTTTAAGCAAAGTCATAGCCTCTTTATAAATTTTGGATATATGTTTGAATAAAATGTGTAAAAATCAAGTTCATGGTCATAGTTCTCTCACTTCTGAAATGATATTCAGTAATTTCTTATTTAATTGACTCATCTAAAAGTATTGTAGATTAGAATAAGTTGTAACAAGAGAACACTAGATCTCTTCTTCTAAAGAAAAATCATATTTATAAAAAATAGCATGAAAAGGATGCATATTATTTTAATATATTTATTTTTGAAAGGCAACAATGTACTTAAATTATTTTTATATTGGGCTTTAAAAATATAAATTATATTTAATATATGTATTTATTAAAAAAATTTGATAAAATAAATCATACTTAATTCTGATTTACCTCACAATTTACTTTATTAAATAGACACATCAATTAAAAGTCATAATTTTTTCTTTCAATCAATCTACTTATGGGTCATCAAGGGTTGTGGTTTCATGGACATGAAAATTTCTCAAAAAAAGAATCAAATTCATTACATGTGTTTTCTCCTCATCTATCCAATTTCATTCTTTTCACCTCTATTAACTTTCTATGATAATGTTGTTTGTACTTTTTAACCCACTCATTTTTAAAATGAATCAAAAAATCTTGGTTTCAACAAATTAGAAAGTATTAAAATAATATATTTTGTAATGCAAATGCTTTTAAAGAAGTGTGCATAACAAGATCTAGAAGATTGTTCAATTAAAAAAATCTAGTTAGAATATTTTTCAGATAAAAACATCTGAATATATAAGATTTACATGTTAATTATCATTGAAACGTTTCAAATTAGTTCTTGAATAATTGAACTTGGTTTATTGAATTGATAAAAGTAGTAGTAGTTGAAAACAACATGAATACTCAAAGTAGAGAAGAGAGATGGAGCTACATATGAGAGAGGGAGACAACGAGAGATTGAGAGATTAAGAGATTAAGAACAACATGCTTGAGAAAGGAGAGAAAGGGGGGATGCCCTTCTCATGTTAACATAAGTTTGTCACCCACAAGTGAACATAATCCAAAAACAAAATAATGAAAATTTCCAATAGATGGTTGGACCCTATAATTAGGACTTCCCTCTCACATGATTCTCCCATATCAAAAATAAGAAAAAAGAATAAAAAAATGAGATATTATTAAAGTCTAGGATGTGTAAATAGCATGTGCCATCCAATATGTATATAAAGACATGAATTGACTAAAGAACCCAATCCCATCTTTTCTCCCAAGCATTACCCCCTTTTTTGTTATGTCATTATATGACATCAATGCCCTTGGGCTTCCATCACCAAGACTTCTCATTGTTGTTAGATTCTTATCAAAATTAAAACCACTTCTCTTGATTCTTTGTCTCTTGGTACCAGATTATATAGAAACAACTTATTAGGAAGAGAACCATGACTCAAGTGAATAATTGTTTCACTATTTGAAGGTGTGTCTACCTTTTGCTCATTCT